AGTGTGTTTGTAGCAAGACCCTGAAGATCGTTGGGCACAATAACATGAGTTTAGGGTCTAAATGGAAGGCAAAACCACCATAAAACACTGTCCTGCACTGAGGAACTCCACAGTAAAAGGAGTTGGAGTTGTAATTAAGGCCAGACAGAGGACAACACTATGAAAAAGGCATGACAAGGAGGTGAGCTGTACTGTCAGATTCAGTCAGCGGAGTTCATATCCCAGCTTCTGTGTCTTAAAAAGCCCAAAATTCACAGCGGACCTCAAGAGGACCCACCAAGGTATTTCACTCCAGTGAAAAAAAAAAAAAAGAAAAAAAAGGGGAGAAATCAGTCTCTGAGGACCAACTCACTTCTCAACTCACAGCCTCAATTAAGGAGCCTTCCTCCCCAAGGCACACAAACAGTGACTGTCTGATGGTGAATCAAGGATAGCAACAAACCCACTACATCCTTGCAGCTGAGGACGTTCCTGTTCCCTTCCAGGAGACAGTAGTACATAGCGAGTTATGATTAGATGTGAACTGCATGCTTTAGAGGCAAAAGTCCTTAACACCAACACAGATCAAAGATCATAACTAAGGTGACTCCAGCCATTCCAGAGCTTGTGTTTTTCTTTTCTGGCTTCTGGAACAACTTGCATAGTTGATTATTGCTGGGCAGCACACACTGAGTTAAGCCTCACCAGCTCTGACTTTCTGCAAGTCTCATGGAGATTCCGTGGTGATTTTTAAACAGACTCAGAGTGTCCCCTAGCAATGAAATACAACTTCTTGAACTTCAAGAACAGCTAAATGTTTTTTTGCAAAGAGTTCAAAGTGATGAACAGCCATTTTGCTCAGCTGTAGTTACCTTAATAGGAATGTAAAAGGAGAGAGACTTGATCCAACTCTCCTCCGTGCTGGCACAGGAAACTCCGTTACTATTTCTGTGCCCATGTAACAGGCTTAGAGGTTCTAAACATTTCGTTCTTTTCACCTTTCCTCATCATAGGTCATTCCTTCTAATCCCTTTAGCATCTTTGTGGCCCTTCTCTGGATTTGTTCCAACTTGCCTGGGTCTCTCTTGCAGCAAGATGCCCCAAATCGCACAGTGCGATGCCACAGCACTACAGGGGACAGTCACTCTGGAAAGCACACAGCCAGGCAGGCATATGGACCAACTGAGCAGTAGCTTTGCCAGACATCAGGCTGCACATCAGCTCACATCATTTGGTAACCACTGTCTCACTGGAACCTCTCTGAACATAAGATGCTTTTGCCACAGTGCTTTGCACAACATGAAATTTGGAGATTCTCCTTGTTCCAAAGTAGATCCAGTATCATCTTTAAACTACGCACTGCTTATTTCCACTTGTTTTACCAAAGCCTGTTAATAATGCTCATTTTTTCAGCCTAGCTCTTCTTTTTTCTACTCTGATTTTTTTCTAGTATCTTTCAGTTGTGTCAACTGTAAATTTGATAACTATTCCTTTTACATTTTCCTCCATGCCACTAATAAGTATTTAAAACCAAAACACTGCCCTTTTGGACACCACCTTTGCAGAAGGATAAAGAACCTCTCTAACTCTTCTGTTTACACTCCGTCAGCTAATCCATGATTCATTTCACAGGATTTGTATCAAAACCAATTTGATCTACTTTCCCTAATAAGATCTTGTACAGCTTTGTGTCAAAAGCCCATGCATGGTCCAGAGACAAGTCTATCCACTGCATTCCTTTTCCCACTAATTATCTAATTGTATCAAGAAAGGTTATTGTCTGCTGTACTCCTGTTTCATAAACCCACTGCTGTTTATCACTAACAATGTTGTTAGCCTTTACGTGCCTGTAACTGCCCTCTGACAAGCATGCTCCGATCTCAGTGATTCTGGGTGTAAATACACAGGTTTAGACCAAGCTGAGATTGCACTTTAGTTTTTTATCCATTAGCGTTATCTCCCTCGGGCAGTGATGTTGGGTTAATGTTACAAGTTTCTCCAATTCTTCTCTAGCCTTTCATCTTTTGCTATTTCTCTATAATGGCTGGACTGCTTATGAGTTTAATGTTCTCTTGAGAACAACAGCAATAATAAGAGAGGGAAAGACTGCTAGATGGACAGGACCAGAAAAGGACAAAAGATTAGTGTTATAAAATCAAGGCAGTAAATATTGCACCCAATTTTTTTTTCTTTTAAACTCAAGGATTACAAGCTTGGGATCCATGCAGATAAGGCTATTTTATTGCACATTCTTTGAGGTTATTTCTGCCAGAAATAGTCATTTGTAGCTATGTTCACGTCTTTACCCCACTTCTGGATATGAAAACTACAGGAATTCCGTACTCTACAAGCCTTCACCTGACTGAAGAGAAAACACTCACAGCTGCTTAGCAAGACAGCCAGAACAATATCCAG